AAATCATTTGAAATTTGTGTCAATACTTCATAAATAGAACGCAGCAGCAATTTTCTGTTGGGGATTTGTCGTGCCGTGCCACGCCACATCCAGTGTAGACCATAGATATGTATATATGTATATCTATGGTGTAGACAGCATCACTGATTATAATGAGTTCCATAGTATTTTGTTGCGCCGCGCCACTCGCGTCCGGTGTAGACACTGTGTAACATTGGTTTTGCTTTGTTTCACAGAACTAATTGTTGCCTTGAGTACGTATGTGTGGGGCGGAGCTATCAAAATAGGGGCGAGACCCTTTTGGGGTAGGGGCGTGTTTGCTGTGGTGATTTCAAATGTTAACACTGGCTACCAGAAATCACTTACCCCACCTTTAATTATTATAGAAGTATGTTAATATGACATTTCTCTCAGTAAAATTTCACCCGTGACGCTCTTGGTGCAGCAGCCAAATACCACGGTAACGTAATGAGTGCTTTGGACTCTCGCAGCTCCCGTTTCATTCCTTTAAATTAATTTTCTTCCCTCACATGACGATCGTTTAACTCAACCATCTCTCTTCCTCCCGCTGCTTCCCTCCTCAGGCGTATGACATCATGAAGGTGACCCATGGGACGGATCACGTCCTGACTAATGAGGTGAAGAGAAAACTGAGCGAGTGCCAGGCTGAGCTGGGTCAAGTCTAGACTGATGTGTGCCATCATACAGAGACGGCCCCATACTCCTCTCCTCCGATTCTTTGACATGTTGGCTGTCAATCAACACGCCGCTATATTTGCTCTCAAATGGAATGTTTCTGGATGGTTGTGTCTGCCACCTGCTTTTGTGCCACTATGTATCAAACCAGCTGGTTTAGAATTCAACTGAAAAAAAAAATGCCAGAGTGAAAAATCTACATCTTCGCTGTGCTTTTTCAGTCCATTTCGGAATTTTTTTTTTTGTGGAATTAATTCCACTTTTTTTATTTGCAATTGTTTTATTTATTTTTATTTGCAGTAATATCAGAGATCCACTTGCTGCCCCCTCAACAGATGTTCTCTTTTAACACTCAGTCTAAAATGTAGTTTACTGATTCTATTTCAGATGTATTTCACTTACCAACAATGATTTTTTTTATCCATTAGCACCCTTAAAGCATAGACCCTTAAAAATGACTATACATGACTTTAGTGTGATTCTGACTTTCACATAATCAACTGTTGTGAAAGGCAACAGCTTTTCAGCAATAACTGCTGTAGATTCATAAACATACTGTATATGTGATGATATATTAGTATTTAAATGCATCTGATTGAGTATTCAGTCAATCCTTACATTTATACGTTTCATGTTTTCTGGTCACTTGGGAGTTAATAAAATTATTCAAATATGTGTTATTTTAGTATTATTTAAATACTACTTTAATACTATTACTACGTTTTAATAATTTTGTAGTTTTTATTTTCTCCAGTTTTAGTTTTAGTATTTTTCATGCTTCAACTTAAACAATTCAGTTAGTTCCCAAGGCAACATTTATTTTTTTTAAGTTTAGGTTTTTCATCTAATACTTTAATTTGATTCTATTTCAGATGTATTTCACTTACCAACAATGATTTTTTTTATCCATTAGCACCCTTAAAGCATAGACTATTAAAAATGACTATACATGACTTTAGTGTGATTCTGACTTTCACATAATCAACTGTTGTGAAAGGCAACAGCTTTTCAGCAATAACTGCTGTGCTTCATAAAACCGCTCCAAACACACACCTCAGATTTGTGCTTCAGTTTCTCATCATTAACTTCAATCATCAGAGTTACTCTGGCAAGACAGTTCCAGTCGCTCTGATTTCATAAACATATTTCAGCAGCTGCTTTATGTTTTTATGCTCATCTTTTACCATCTGGATTGTGTTATTGCAGTAAGCACTTGATTTGTAATGTGGGTCAATCCTTCGTTTCAGTAAATATTCCCATGTTGAATCAAATATTGAAACAGTTTTTAAAGATGAAAATCATATTAGTAAGTTTTCACAACAGTTACGTGAACGAGAGGGATCATTTAAATAATTTCAATACTCTGGTTTGAACAGATGTCGCCATTTATATGCTAACACAAAACACTGGCATTTTATTAAGAAATTGTCCAGGTGTTTCACTAATCAGAATATTTTCTTATGAATATTGTTTTAATTGGTAATTGAAATGACCTCGATATCACTTTCTTTTGTATTAATGTAATATACACTGTAAAAAAAAATTCCGTAAAATTTACGGTAAAAAACCGGCAGCTGTGGTTGCCCAAATTTTACCATAAAAAAATACAGTTAGCAACGTTTTAGGTTTTACGGTTTTAACTTAAATTTACAGTTAAATACCGTAATTTCACTAACTGTTATAATGTTAATACACTAACCTATTGTAGTACTGAAATCTGTTTTGTACTTTTGTAATACACTGATAACCACCAAATGCAGGTGGTGATGAGAAAGTCACATGATGAACCAAAGCTCATCACAAGCAGCTTTTATGTAATAACATATATAGAAGGTGCACAGTGTCATTCACACAAACACCAAACACCATCATGGTAACACATGAAACTGAAATAATGCAATAAACATTCATTTAACAACATTAGGTGTAACACACAACCCTAATATACAAAACTGATAAGAAAAAACTAAGAAGAAACATAGTTATTTCAACAAAAAAACATCTAATTTGAAATGTAACGCAGGGAATTCTGGGAATGGCAATTTACGGTTATTCACTGTAAATTATAAGGTCTTTTCACTTCCAAAAATGGTATACTACCGTAAAATGAATGTCCAATACATGTAATGTCCAATACAGTTTTTCACCGTATATAGTAGGGGAATTTACCATTAACCATTTAACAGGCTTTTACTGTAGCATTTTTACAGTCTTTTACCGTTAAATTCACGGTCATTTTTTACAGTAAACTGGCTTTTGTTAATAATATCATCCTTCAGGAAGTGATTTCATTTTGGTGGTAAAACAACAAGTGGTGTGTAAATAAATCTAATTATTAATAAAGTTTGTGTCTGAGCTTCTTACTGAAAACCTACGTATATACACGGAAATAAAAGTCTTTTGTTCATCTAGTTGGTCTGGATTAGCACAGATGACACTTTTCCGGATATTTTCCCAGAACGTGTTATTGTTGCTAAATCTTTTGAACCCTCATGAGTGTCAGGATACAGATAGACAGGATTACACGTCTCATTCCACCTCCTCTCCTCTCATAACTCTGTGGCCACTAAAGCAAACAGCTTTTGGAGGTGCACTTCTTTAAGATGGAGATAATATCTTAAAAAAATGTCATTCTGTTGGATAGAATGGGGCTTAAGAGGAAATAGAAGAAGTTAGTATAGAGCAGTCCAATCTCTAACTCACACTCGGAGCCCTTTAAGCCTATATGACATCATTCCTAACAAAACGTGAACGAGTCCAACCACAAATCTTCAGTCATGTTTCACCAAAAATCAAAAGAAATAAAATTGTATTTTTTTACTTACCCCTCAGGTCCTGCTCACATATGGCGGTCAAAAATGACAGATTTTTTTTTTTCAATTAAATGAATGTGCTATATTTTAGTTTGATAATTTTTTTTATTTAAGATTTTATGGTACTAAATTATATTTATGGGATAGTTATGATCCATTCATTACCTGTTTCATTCTGTTGGATAGAATGGGGCTTAAGAGGAAATAGAAGAAGTTAGTATAGAGCAGTCCAATCTCTAACTCACACTCGGAGCCCTTTAAGCCTATATGACATCATTCCTAACAAAACGTGAACGAGTCCAACCACAAATCTTCAGTCATGTTTCACCAAAAATCAAAAGGAATAAAATTGTATTTTTTTACTTACCCCTCAGGTCCTGCTCACATATGGCGGTCAAAAATGACAGATTTTTTTTTTTCAATTAAATGAATGTGCTATATTTTAGTTTGATAATTTTTTTTATTTAAGATTTTATGGTACTAAATTATATTTATGGGATAGTTATGATCCATTCATTACCTGTTAACCACTTTTTGAGCATAGACCTGAAAATGAAATTTCTGCTGCAGAACCAAAATTTTCCACTACATGAAATTTGCTTCCCATTCATTTCCATTGTCACTTTCCAAAAGTTTATTTTATTCTGGACCATTTAACCCATCCATGATTGTCCATGATGTATTTATTTAAATTTATTTTTTCACATATCAAGTGCCAAAACCTTTAAGTAAAAATTCAAAAAATTGACCGGACAGCACTAACCGGTTATAGATAAGGTTTTATGACCAGTAAGTTTCACTATATATATATATATATATATATATATATATATATATATATATATATATATATATATATATATATATATATTTACTTTTATTACAATGAGATCCACACTAAGCATCAGGATCACTGATAAGATGTATTATTATTATCTGTATTCGTCCAGTCAGGTTTAGGGTGAATTATCATACTTGTAAAGTCCCTTGTGCTCCTTTGATGTCTGATATGATTTTCTATTGAACTGCATCTGTGGTTGATGGCTGTTCATTAAAGCCGATGAAGATCAATCTCGTCTGGAAGCAGCTTAAGACATCTAAAATGAAGCCTGGGGTATACTGAATTAAAATAATGAATAAAAACAGACCAACTAAAAGGTTGCTTTCATTCTTTTTTTATAAGAAATTCAATCAAAAAATAGATTTATGCTGCAGAGCTGCAAAAACATGTGGTGGGCAACTAATTATAGTATCTCAGAAACGTTCAAATAATTTTAGTTATTAATTAGTTGTGCAGAATAAGGCAGAAAAAAGAATGCAGCTTCTGAATCATCCTTTATTTACATCAATCCGTATGTCAATCAAACTCTCATTCAGGCTGTGTTTTTTCTCATAGAACAAGAAATCATGCCGACTGTCGCAGTATTAACATGAAGCAATATGTTGACAACTTTTCTCATCTTCCCTCATCCATCTGTAATGCCAAACTCCTTTCCTTTCTATTCACATGAATTAGTGAAAGGAGGCGAGGCCTTAGTTTCGCAACCATGTTCGTGAACATTAAAGCGCATTAAGGACGATATTCGTTTCACATTGTACCGCATATCACACAATGCATTACTTGAACGATTCACAGATGCTGAAGAATGCGACGGCTTGTGATGAAAAACATTTTGTGAATAAACATGGAAATTGCTTGTTCTCTCGTCTCCCATGATTTGGCAATAGATGCGTATTCAAAGAAATGCAAAAACAAAACCTATATAATATATAAAGAAGAACAAAAGTGAAATATAGAAGTATATTTTATATATATATATGGCATGAATTTAGCTACTGTACAATTTTAATGCATAGTGCTTTGCAGGCTAAATAAATTATAGAATATAAGCATCTCTGTCATACAGGCCTCCTGAGGTAAAAAATAAATAATATCCTTCATTCATTACAATGCCAAAAGGGCAGCAGGAATGTCGCTCCCCTTTGCTTTGGCGAGGGTCAGGGCAGGGAAGAGGAGTGAAGCGGGAATGGAAAAGCATATGAAGTCTTTAGTAAGTACCAGGAACAGGCTATATACTCATCTATAAACGTTTAGAGCTGAAACTGTCTCAAGCACCATATATATACTGTATATATAAACAGAACAATACCAAAGTGTCAGCACACGTACAATGAGACCACATAGAGGGAAGGCCAATGAGCAGACATATGCACCAATATGATCTGGAATGCAATGCAACAGACTAAATTCAACGATTTCTACTAAAGTTGTATTTGACGAACAAAAGTAAACTGTGAAGTGTTGTTTTAAAAATGCCCAAGAAGTTGGGATGCATTATTGATATTAAAGATCCTTGTTGGTCCTGCCAGACTGAGGATTCTTCTCGCCGCTCAACCGTAACACGTTGGAGTGGCCCAGCCCGAGGCGTCACACTGCTGAAAATGCCAACATAACCGCAGGGGATGTGAAAAATCAATGAGCCAATGCCAGAACCATTCTTCGAGATGTCCTGCTGTGCTATTCCATGGAATATGAAATGCTCTATGTGGTCTCAGTGTGTCCAAGAATACAAAAAATAATACAAAACACACGTAACAGTTCATGTTGAATGTGACTAGTGTATAACAATACAAATACCGAGACAGAGATTAAACACATCATTTAACAAGCAGTGTTTTCTTTTTCTTGTTACTTTTTTTGTTTGTTTGTATGCATGTTTTTTTAAGCTAGCACCATCTGTACACAAATATGAATTTTTGTCCATAGATTTCCAAGATATTGAAGTGTTCACAAGGCACTTGTCGTCCTTTTTGTTCTGTTTTCATTCATCTTCTTTAACGATTTGTTCTTTTATATGGCAATTTATTTATTTTGTTCACAGCAAGCGAGCAAGCCATTTTCGCAAACAATGACTCCAATGTTCCAAAGTGCTCCTCCATCTATGTGGGACAATGTTTTTTTCTTTTCAACTCTCCAAGTCCAGCTTTTTCCGTTCCCCAGCAAAATCCATTTTAGAAAAAATATTAAGTCTTTATATTTTCCCAATCATTTCAGCCATCACTGTAGTGATGAACTTTGTAACTTGCTCACATACACCCTGCTGAGCCTTTTCCACTTCCAACTGTCCATAATACTTGGCGAATCTTTTACCGTCGCCGGCAGGTGATGTCAAAGCATGTGATCATCATCAGATGAGCTTTGCAGAAGTTGACCCGATTCTCCAGTCGTTCCGTGACAAACTCCAGAGCTTCTAAGTACTCCAGAGAGTCCACTTCAAACGTCTGCTGAAGGTCAACTGCAAAAATTAAGGAAACGAATGTTAACTGACAGAAGTTAAACCCACCAAACTCATACTTTTGTCTTGAAAAACATTCTACAATGCCTGCAGTTTGCATAGCTACTTTGTGAATTTTGTCATGTATTTTATTTTGTTCATATATGATCATTTCTTAGACTAGAAATGGTACCATTGATATCAACCCAAAGTGTGCAAATGACTTACATTCAGTGGTCCATTTCTCTGGCTCCAGCATCAGGTGTTGTTTGGTTTGCTCTAGTTCCTTTTTCAGCCAATCGTACTTGGCCCGCACCTCTGAGATTCTCTGTTGCCGATGCTCTAAGATCTTCAGTTTGGCACTAAAGTATACCACTTCCTGAGGGCACAACAACAATAAGCGATACATCTTTCTAAACCACTGACAAGAACTGCTGTAAAAACGCTCTTACCTTATTGCCTACGGTCCGCCTCCTCTGTAGACGTTCAACATCATCAATCTCATAAACCTTAATCTCGAAAGGTTCAACTAAACCCCTCTGTGTTGGCCGGAGGGGAACATCCACCCAGCGTAATCCTGGACTGATGACCGGCATTCTCACGGGAGAGGTGGTGTCTAAGGTGAGGTTAGGGATTAGACGGCGTCTCTGGGACCCTAGGGATGAGACAATACCATGTGATGCGCACTATGTAAACACATTTTATCAATCTTGAGTTGTTTTATAATTAAACCAAGTGAAAAGACAAAAAAAAGGGTCAAAGTGTGCTACAGTGCTGAGCCAAAGCTTAACCTACACAGAGCCGCACTCCTACCAATTCGATGCAGCCGTATAATGAAAAAGAGCACTGAGATAATAGCAGGACAGTATCTTATCTGACCAGTCTGGAGGAACCAAGTCTACAATAAGGAATTTGCCAGAAGTAGTTCCCCTATTTGCATAGAAATTGACAGTTCCAGGTCTGATGATAAGTTATCTGATTTGGAACCAAGGAACAAGGTCATATTAATGTGTTTCAGCTAGTCATTTGGTCAGAAAACAGCACCAAAAAGGTCAACTTTTCAGTCCACCCTCATTGCCTCGGAGAGACAGTGCTCTGAGTTCAGAAGAATGTTGGCGGTTGGCAGTTGATGTAAATTTTAACTGTGGTTGTGCTTTTATATCCTTGCAAAGGCCTTTTCAAATAAGGTATTCACAACATAATTACAATACTACTTTTCTTTGCGGTTCAACGTGTACTGGTCTAGCTTTTGTGTCTGAGAAATGATTTGCATTTTCAGTTTTCTCACCATGCAAAAGTTTGTGGTGGCAAGAAATAGAGTAAAATTCTTAGCCTGAGGAAATGGGAGAAGAGGTGTGTATTCTGGAATTTATGCAGCACTAAATATTGAAAGACCACCCACAGCTAAGTTTGGCAACTGCTATCAGTCAGTATCATAACAGATCATCCAAGCATGTAGAGGGGAGCAGAGCTCTTTAAAAAGTTTTGTTTCTTCCAACTATAATCTGGAATGAGTCCTGAAAGCTTTGTACTACAATACATTTTCTTGAGCACAATTCATTAGGAATTACATTAACTCTAGAACTAGATCTTTGAATTGTTGTAATGCAGAAAGATGGATTCCACGATGAGCCATTAAATACATTTGCCAGACTTGAGAAGCAGACTACACACATAGAATAAAATAAATAAATAAACAAACAAATAAATATAGGTGTATATTAGGGAAAATAATTATTTGACCCCCTGCTGATATTGTAAGTTTGCCCACTTACAAGGAAATGAAGGGTCTATAATTTTTATGGTAGGTTTATTTTAATGGATAGAGTCAGAATATCAATTCAGAACAAAACAGATTATATAAAGGTTAAAAATTGATTTGCATTTCAGTGAGTCAAATAAGTATTTGATCCCCTACCAACCAGCAAGAATTCTTGCTTCCACAGATTAGTTATGTACCATGTAGAACACAGATTAGTCCAAGTACTCCTAATGTCAGCTCATTATGTGTATAAAAGACACCTGTCCACAGAATCTGTATCTTCCATTCCAACCTCTCCATCACCATGGGCAAGACCAAAAAGCTGTCAAAGGACATCTGGGACAAGACTGTAGACCTACACAAGGCTGGGATGGGCTACAAGACCCTCTGCTAAGGGTACAGGACGACTTCAACGCATTGAGGGGCTGATGAACAGGGCTATGTACCGTAAAATCTTGAATGAGAACTTCCTTCCCTCAGTCATAACACTGAAGATGGGTCGTGAATGGGTCTTCCAGCATGACAATGACCCAAAACATACCGCCAAGGCAACAAAGTGGCTCAAAAAGAAGCACATTAAGGTCATGGAGTGGCCTAGCCAGTCTCCAGACTGTAATCCTATAGAAAATCTGTGGAGGGAGCTGAAACTTTGAATTGCCAAGTGACAGCCCAAAAAACCTTAAAGATTTAGAGAGAGTCTGTAAAGAGGAGTGGACCAAAATCCCTCCTGACATGTGTGCAAACCTGATGACCAACTACAAGAAACATCTTACCTCTGTGCTTGCCAATAAGGGTTTCTCCACCAAGTACTAAGTCATGTTTTGCTTGGGGATCAAATACTTATTTGACACACTGAAATGCAAATCAATTTATAACCTTCATATAATGTTTTTTTTCTGGATTCTTTGGTTCATAATCTGTCTATGTCCGTTAAAATAAACCTACCATAAAAAGTATAGACCATTTCTTTGTAAGAGGTCAAACTTACAAAATCAGCAGGGGATCAAATAATTATTTTCCCCAATGTGTACATTAACCAAGCTGACAGGAGTATGATGACATTTTCCACTGTATTACACAACAAAAAATCAAGTAGTAAAATACTTTTTTATGTTGGATTATGGACTTTAAACAAAAAGAAGCATAGTTTTTGGCATCTGATATTTGCTTACCTGTATTACTTCTTTTCTTTGAATTCTTAAGGCTCCTGCGACCACTGACAGAGCTGATGTTTTCACTCATCGAGTCCTGAGCAGATGATGTGCTTCCTGTGGCCTCACTGTCTCGTATCATACTCTCATAGCCACTGCTGCCGCCACTGTGGTAGAACAAAGCAGTCTTTCCCATGGCTGGAGGAAGCTCTCCGCTTAGAACACTGCTGTTGTCACTGGCATGTCCGCTACTGCAACGGTGAGGCCTTCTTGGGGCGGTGATCTTACTGTAAGGTGAGGGCAAAGTATGGACCACCGGCCTTTCCTCTCCTTGGACTGCTGCTCCTCTCTCCTCAGTGTCTGATGCCCCTCGTCCTTGGGCAGCACGAGAGCTAGCGCTACCTTGAAGGAGCTCAGAGATTCGTCCATTCACTGCTCTTAAAGGTAGCTTAGATGCTAACCCTGTTCCCCTACTGCGACTTAAGGACTGAGTTGACCATGAATTTTGGTTCTGGTTCTTTCCGTTAGGAGGCAAACTTGAGCTTCGGTTTACTGACTGTGGGAGGGACTTGGTGGAGAAACTTAGGGTCTTTGTGCAAGAGGATGATAAGCTTCGAGCTTTGGGACTTGCCATAAGGAGTTTGCTAACTGCAGAGATTTTGGATTGACTTGCTTTGGGTAATTGTGGGGCATTATTATTACCATTTGGTCCATTGATAGGTGATGAGAGCAAACCACGGGTGATGCTCCTACCTGTCCTTGGCATTGTACTGTCTTTTGTAACTCCTCCTTTAGAGCCTAGAGAGGTCAAAATCTCAGCCTTCTCTAAGGAATGACAGTCATAATGTGCCCCATGAGACCTCCCTAAGGAATGGGTTCTGTTTGCTAACTGCTCAAGTTTGGCACTGAAGAGTCTGCTGCTCTCTACATTTGGTCCTTTGTGTTTACCAGCCAGGTCTTCAGGTGTGCTGCCAATGAAAGACAGATGCTGGTTTGGTGTCTGAGAATTTCCTGGACTATGCTGTGGACTTGCTCGATTCCTCTGGTCAAGGCTAGACTTCCTTACAGGTGGCAATGGTGGGATTCCTTTCTGACGAGCAAAGATGCCTTGCCTCCCTGCTGAACTTCTTCTTTCAAGTGTGGAAATACTTATTTGACACACTGAAATGCAAATCAATTTATAACCTTCATATAATGTTTTTTTTCTGGATTCTTTGGTTCATAATCTGTCTATGTCCGTTAAAATAAACCTACCATAAAAAGTATAGACCATTTCTTTGTAAGAGGTCAAACTTACAAAATCAGCAGGGGATCAAATAATTATTTTCCCCAATGTGTACATTAACCAAGCTGACAGGAGTATGATGACATTTTCCACTGTATTACACAACAAAAAATCAAGTAGTAAAATACTTTTTTATGTTGGATTATGGACTTTAAACAAAAAGAAGCATAGTTTTTGGCATCTGATATTTGCTTACCTGTATTACTTCTTTTCTTTGAATTCTTAAGGCTCCTGCGACCACTGACAGAGCTGATGTTTTCACTCATCGAGTCCTGAGCAGATGATGTGCTTCCTGTGGCCTCACTGTCTCGTATCATACTCTCATAGCCACTGCTGCCGCCACTGTGGTAGAACAAAGCAGTCTTTCCCATGGCTGGAGGAAGCTCTCCGCTTAGAACACTGCTGTTGTCACTGGCATGTCCGCTACTGCAACGGTGAGGCCTTCTTGGGGCGGTGATCTTACTGTAAGGTGAGGGCAAAGTATGGACCACCGGCCTTTCCTCTCCTTGGACTGCTGCTCCTCTCTCCTCAGTGTCTGATGCCCCTCGTCCTTGGGCAGCACGAGAGCTAGCGCTACCTTGAAGGAGCTCAGAGATTCGTCCATTCACTGCTCTTAAAGGTAGCTTAGATGCTAACCCTGTTCCCCTACTGCGACTTAAGGACTGAGTTGACCATGAATTTTGGTTCTGGTTCTTTCCATTGGGAGGCAAACTTGAGCTTCGGTTTACTGACTGTGGGAGGGACTTGGTGGAGAAACTTAGGGTCTTTGTGCAAGAGGATGATAAGCTTCGAGCTTTGGGACTTGCCATAAGGAGTTTGCTAACTGCAGAGATTTTGGATTGACTTGCTTTGGGTAATTGTGGGGCATTATTATTACCATTTGGTCCATTGATAGGTGATGAGAGCAAACCACGGGTGATGCTCCTACCTGTCCTTGGCATTGTACTGTCTTTTGTAACTCCTCCTTTAGAGCCTAGAGAGGTCAAAATCTCAGCCTTCTCTAAGGAATGACAGTCATAATGTGCCCCATGAGACCTCCCTAAGGAATGGGTTCTGTTTGCTAACTGCTCAAGTTTGGCACTGAAGAGTCTGCTGCTCTCTACATTTGGTCCTTTGTGTTTACCAGCCAGGTCTTCAGGTGTGCTGCCAATGAAAGACAGATGCTGGTTTGGTGTCTGAGAATTTCCTGGACTATGCTGTGGACTTGCTCGATTCCTCTGGTCAAGGCTAGACTTCCTTACAGGTGGCAATGGTGGGATTCCTTTCTGACGAGCAAAGATGCCTTGCCTCCCTGCTGAACTTCTTCTTTCAAGTGTGGCTCTTGGACTGCAGGGAGTGGAAGTGGTAACCCCAAGGCTTTTATACTCTCCACTCATGTAACGATATGTAGGGTCGTCCAGATCATCCTGCTTATTCAAGCGATGCCATGCACGAGGGAGACTACCCGTCCTGAGGATGTCTGCAGAGTACACTTGAATTATGCTTTCAGATGCATTGAAGACCATCTCGCAGCCATTCACCACCCGGTTCATTGAATCAGGGGAACATGCTGCTTCACTTGAGCTGTGCTTGTCAACTTGCCACTTCCTTTTTACAGATTCAGATGTTCTCTTCTCTGACTTGATATCACAGACCATCTCCAAAGGCTTGGTCTCTTCACATCCCTCCCTTTTCATCCAAGGGTCATCAAAATGTATCTCACTTGAGATTGGAACAAGTGGTGATTTGGGATCTTTGACTAGAGGGGTTTTTGTTTGTAAGTCCTGCACAACTATTGGCTTAACAGCAGCACATGGGTGAGTTGTGATATTGGTCTTAAAAGGAACATAGCCACTTGAGGTTGAGGACAGCTTGTCTAATTTGTGTTTAGCTGTGTTTTTATCATTCACTTCGGTTTTATTGGAATCACTCTCTTTGTCTGAGTTCTTTTGATCATTTGACTCGGGGTCTATGTCACCTTCTTCTTGAATTTCTAAAAGCCTGTCTTCGGCTATTGCCTCACCTTGTCCAAAGCACTGTTGGGCAACAAAGCTATGGCATGACTGGTCGCCATCACTGCCAGCACTCATTTCACTCAGCCATGAGCTGATTGAGGAACGACGACTAGCCTGGGCATCCCCTTCTATCTTGCGGAGAGGCAGGAATTTAGCAATGTTGACTTGTGAGATAGTGGCAGTGGTAGTGCAGGGAGCTGTGGTGTAATGTTCTAGGTCTTCACTCATGCTGCTAATTATACTAACAGGTCTTGAACCCGATGTCATAGCCTGCACCGAGCAGTCACTATTAAAGCTGATAATACTGGTTGGTCTGCCATTTTCCATCACCCCACTAATTGTCAGCTTTTCCACAAGGGTAAACACCAGCTCATCCTCTCCACTGGGCTCCAAAGGATGCTCCAGCGTAACTGTGGCTGTGGTGTCCTTCACATTTTTCTTACTGTCCAAAGGCAGCTGGGGAACATCATCACACAGTGTCTCAGCTGATCCAAGGCTATTGGATGATGAAGATCTGTTTAGGACCTGTGGGCTCATCCCCACCGGAGAGGTTCTAGACTCAGGATTAAGCAAAGACTCTGTAGATGATTTTCTAGAGTCTTTATTAAGATTATGTGAGGAGTGAGGTGGTGTTCCAGGCATTATTCCTTTCTGGGTGTACACTTTGCAGCGTTGAGAGGGAGAGGATGGGGGTTTGTACTCTGAGGTTTTAGTAAGACTGGCAATGCCCAACCGTGGGGAGCCCATAGGACGAGGCTTACTCTCACTGCTGCTTCCACCACTGATGGATTCTTTGCTGTCATGTAAACTGGAGCTCTTTATAAATTGCCCAATACCACTGCTGCCAGTCACACTTCTGCTGCTGGAGAGTCCACAACTGCCTGTTGAAGTCTGTGTCAAGCTTTCAATTATTGACTGAGCGATCTCTGCTTCTTCAACCACCTCACGGATCTCCTCCAGCTGCTGGTCAGAGATCCTCTTGGGAGAACTGGATTGCTGACCCCCTTTAACGACTTGACCATGGCCAGGCTCAAATTTGGCAGCTCTGTTGGCAGAGACTTCTTCAAAAGGGAATGTTGTAACCTCTTCTCTTCCATCAATGCAGTCCAGCCTCTCTTGGAGCTCTGCAAAAGTGTTGCACTTAAGGCAGTCTTTTTCCTTTTTACCTGGCTCAGCACCTTCCTCTGGCAAAGGTGGGAGTGGCTGCGGATTAATGGTCTGCAAGGGTTGGACAGACTGTGAGGCTTGAACTAGTGGGGCTACAACCTGTTGAGATGGTTGTGATGTCAAAGAAGCCTTGCCAAGATCTGCTTTATTTTTATGTAGAGATGGGATTATAGGAACAAACTCTGGAGGACCTTCGTTGTCTGTTAGCTCTTTGTCTGAGAGGGCTGAGCCATTTGGACCTACATAGATAACTGTGTCACATGACTGTTCGCTGCTGGAATACTCTTCAGGGTCACTGGAGAGATGTAGCAGGGGCATCTCTGAATCAACAACATTTCTAGAATGGATGGTTCTCAGCTGTGTTGGACGACGCATTCTTCCTTCCTCACATGAGCTCTCACCACCAGAGGAACTGGATGTGTATTGCTACAAAAGAAAAAAGAACACTGCATTTGAAAGTAATAAACATAAAATACAATGGTGAATCATTCTATCCTAAAAGAAAGTTCAATAAAATGAAGGACAGTATCATACCACGCTTACTTTAGCCTTCTTCTTCTTCAGTCTAAGAACACGAGAGGCGATTTGAAGGGTAGAGAGTGTCTCTGAGAAATTGCTGGGTGACGAGGAAATGTGGGCTATCATAGTGGTGCGACAATTCATGTTTCCCAGGGACTCACGTAACAGCATTGTTAGCTTACTATCTCTGCAAACAAAAAATGGAAGAGCATAAGTTGGCAAAATGATAGTCGTGTAACCAAATGATTAAAAGTGAAGCTACATGATTTGTAAAATGAGTTAACCTTTTCAGAATAAAATGTATTTGGAAAATGGATGCATTCAAAAATCAAGGCTTTGTGGAAATAACTCCTTTTCAATGAATACCTGGGCCACTTCTAGTAATCAGTCTAATCGTGTAATGTAACCCTCTTTAATAAGAAGAATGGATAGACCCTTTTGGGCATTTTATTTGCTGACCCTGATTCAAAAAACCTTGGCTGCCAGACAGTCTCTTTTTACAGAGAAAGAGAAAGAGAGACTGGGATTGGCATTTCCTGTTCTGTCTGCCTTCCCCATGGCAACCATTAGAGGTGACATATAAAGCTGCTTTTCAAGGATGAGTCAGCTAGTATTACAATATTCACATGTAAGTTCTCAGTTCTCAGAAATCGATGACCTATACTATAATTTAAAGCAAAACATTGTCACAGAATACAACAGAGTGTACATTAATGGGATTACAGTGATAATCTTTTCTAATTTGTTTGATGTCGGATGATGTTCTTAAAAATGGTTAGTGAAGTGTGTAGTCAATCTTAAGTGGTCATTAACAGTGATCACATGAAAACTAAGCACAAATTATACAAGCAAAATTTACTAGCCATGATGTAACAAAAGTTATCTGAGATATCCCATTAAATAACATTCACCCCTTGGCAAAATATGTAAACACTTATTACACAACACATGTGAATGGTTTCTGGTTATTGCTACTAATATTATGCCACAAACTGGACAATGCATTCTAGTGTAAAATCGATAATTAATAATGAATTGATAATAATTCTGAACAATATTCTACATTTGGCATTAAATCAGAGAGGTTAAGTCATCCAATTAGAGAGATAAAAAGCAACTAAAATATTATTTAGCACTAATTAAATCACTATCTAAAATTAGTGACTTGAGTCATTTATGATGCATGCATATTAATTCAATTTATCTTGTGCAAATGTTGCATTCCTCCTAAAAGGCTGTAAATCCTAATTATATCTCAGCTCTCAAGAGCTGTTGCGTATCCAGCCTTAAACCCCATAATGCTCTGCAATGTAAATTCGCCATGATTAAATTAGGGAGCCATGGCATAAAAATGCAAACGTGCCTTGAGGGAGCAAAATGGAAGCGCTGCAAATTTAGAGAAAAATGCTGCTAGATGATACACGGCACCTTCTCAAAGTTGTCTGTTTAACTCAAATTAACATGCTGCTAAAAGAAATAAAACAGCAGTTGGAGAGAAATGGTCTGTGTTAAGAACGTTCAATGAATCCCAGCGAATGTGAAACTGCATCTGTCTCTATAGCTGCCTGGCACAAGCTAATTCACTTAGCTATTACCCCTGAGGAGTGATAAAGGTTGCATTCTCTCTGCAGATTCAACGTAGCATTATAATCCACAAATAATTGCTAACATCAAAGGCTGGAAAATGTCAGTTTGTATATATATTATTCATATGAGGTGTGTTTGAGAAGAATTAATGGCATGCAGCGGAGATATGAAGGCTAAACCTGTTGCATCTTTAATGAGTTTAGCGACTGGTGAATGACTTCACCCAGTACAGTATAATCGTAATCTTGACGTTGTGGTTACAACATATTTGTATGAGACTGAAAAGTCTAACCCAATGAGTTTTTGACTGAAATCATATGATGAGTCAAGTGAAAGGTAAAAGTCTTACTTGTAAGGGATGTGCTTGCTGCCATTGACTAAAGCCAAAATGACATTGCCCAGAGCGGACAGAGAGAGGCAGAGTCCTGTAGTGCTGTCACGGGTCTTGCTCAAAACCTTAACACAGCTGCCTAGATCGATGAGGTGCAGTCGGCTCCTGCCTCCCGACACTTAAGCAAAAGAGCCAGAGAGTCAGATTTAACAACTAAACTCTAATAGGAGTTTCTAACATTTTCTTTATTCAACATTCTCTTAATAACTAACATATGATATACTTTATACTTCAGGCACCATAGTGACCATTTGAAATGACTCAGCTGGAGTAACATGTTACACTACCATTAGTAAGACTTTTTTTTAATACTTGAATACTTTTGTTCAACAAGGACACTTTTATAATGTTTAAGATTTATAACAATATAAAAGATTTCTATTTCAAATAAATGCTGTTCCTTTAAATCCTAAAAAAGGCATCATCAACGAGTTTGCTAATAATGTTTCAGCATCACAGGAATAAATTACATTTTAAATAAATTCAAATAGAAAAGAGTTATTTTAAATTAATAATGTTTCATAACATTAATATTTTTTACTGTATTTATGTGGTCAAATACATGCATGGTAGTATATATAAAATATGCCCTCATAAAGGTAAAAATTCCATATATATATATGTGTGTGTGTGTGTGTGTGTGTATAATATGATTTGAAAATACAATTTTGACACTGCATTATACAGTATGTTTTGTAACAGTACAGGTAGTGCCACTGACTAAGTTAAATATTTAAATAGCTACTTAAAGTAAGAAAGTATAAATCTTGCAAAGAAAATGGTAAAGCAATAGAATGTAAAGAAACTGTCGAAAACCTCATGATGAGCATCTAATTCCATGATGAAATATTATTGTAACCTAACGGTAGACTAATAAAGAGAAATGGAACTTATTAGTGAAAACACTGAGGTTAATGAACTTATATTTCAAATGGTGACATATCTATCTCTCTGTGTTTCTATTAATTAAGCTTTAGCGTTAGTTCTGGCAGGTCACGTGAGTCAAGCTTGCATCAGCTGATTCTCAGCTGATCACATCTACCTATAGGAATACGACACCTATCGCGGCATTCCTATATAAGCTGTATTCAGTATTATTCAGCAGCTTTTTAGCTTGCTTCGGAGCAAATTACCCTCCTCCATCCCCAGCTCCACCTTTCGCCACAGTCAGGACTTAGCTTTCTGATATTCCTTGCTAATCAGACTCCTTTATCTTGAATAAAGTGTTACACTTAAATATCATTGAGTACATTAATGATATCTGCATTGTTCTGTTCTGTTAACCCTAGGGGGGTTATTATTGCTGCTCTCCCTGCTCATTCATGACAGGCTGCATGGATGGGCAGGGAGGTTTTTTGCCCAGAACAGAACCATACCGCCAAACCAAACTTTATGCTAAGTATCTATCATTCTGACGATAGTGGTCCTGACAGAATGTAAGTTAACCTTAGCCATGGAAACATCCTGAGTGGATTTCATGACACTGCTTACACTAGCTCATTTTGGAGGTAATTCAAGTTTCTCAAATACCCTAAAAGCCCATGCTAACACATCTGGTTTTACTTTCTATTCACTCTTAGAAAAAGGCAGGACTCACTTGTGCCAAACAGAAATGTATTTTGAGAAATTAGCACTGTTCTCCAGAAATAGCTAGTTTTAGCTTGACAGCTTTTAGATCAGATTGTACATCTCACATTAACAATGGCAGTTTCTTTGTCTGTTATCACACCCCTCTCAAAGATTATCAGCAGCAGACTATTTATAAACCACACAGGCAACATTTGGAAGTATAATGAGAAAGTTCGAAATCAACCGTGGAAGAGAGCAGATACTGCTGATAAGACTAGTACAGCTGAAGATACTGGTGTCCATCATAAAAGTATCTTAACAAGGTTAACCAGCAATAGCCAAAAATAGGTCATGGACCGAAAACCAGTTGAGAACCTCTGCTCTAGTTCATATTGAGTTTCTACTTGAACTCTATCTAACCTATAATGATACTCACTTCCACCCTTGCCAGTCTTTTCCATTCGATACTGGTAGATGTGTAGGGTGAAGAGCATGTGAGAGTTACGGTGCTCCTCTTCGTCGTAGTCTGGCTTACTGCTGTAACGTGCAGCAATGGCAGCATCCAAGAAGAAAGCGGCCTTCTCAGCCGTAGGAGCGCGCAACTCACTCTGATTCTGTAACTGTGAAAAACACCAAGGATGCAAATGTGAATTTTATTGCACAGTTTTGGCTGAAAAAACATTTGGTATGAGAAGCAATACTGAATTTGTACTCCAAACATGGCAATTTAGCAATTAGTTGTCTACTGAAATAATGCCAAGGTAGATAAATGGGCTGATATTTAACAATTTTATTATCTCATCGGCTGCAAAGTTTTTCTGTTTGGCTGATGAGTGCCAGCAGTCAGACTTTTACTTCGACAGCACCAGGACCTTTTTGATTTTGTGAAAAATACTATAACAGGATTACAAGAAGTTTCTGTCTAAAGTATATATCTGCTTGTTTGTTGTTTTATACAGATTATGTTTTATCAAGTATCGTTTTTTTAACATATTATATATATATATAAATATATATATATATATATATATATATATATATATATATATATATATATATAAATTCTTCAATCAATTATTCCTAATTTAGTAAATATATCAAATAAATATAAAAATAATTAAATAAAGTGTATTAAATAAATAAAACACACACACACACACACACACACACACACAGACAAACACCCTGGCCACCCTGTTCTCTAAGATATTGGCACTGGCTTTCAAAAAACTCCATATTGGTCGACCACTATTAACAATACTACAGAAAATAAAACAAAGCATTAAAACGCTGTCAGTTCAGCTACATCTTAATATCTATAAAGAAATTCTTCTGTTTGTTATTTGGCAATAATCATGTCAGCACGGCCTTAGGTATCACGTCTGAAGCCGGCTCTGTGTGATAAGGTTGACTGTCACAGGAACAGGAGAAGTGAGGGCATTACAATCCATTGCTGTGAGGTATCAGTCCAAGATGAGATTAGTGCACATGTCTGAGGATTACAGAGACAGGGGTTGCCTCTGCTCGACTAATCCTCTCATCATGTATTAGCATTTTTCTCAACAATGCCATCTTTATTGGAAGCTGATTGTCATGCTAGGTTGGTTTTTTGGTTTTACACTGGGGGCTTTCCCAGAATAAGGCAAAAAGTGTCAATATTGTTAAACTTTTTTTTCTAATTTCAAAATAGTTATTTGTTAACATTTTAGAGAGAATCAGCAATAAAAAGAAAAACATGAATTTTTGGCATCATTCTACATCACTAACAAACAGAAGAGCAAAAAGCGGACAGGTGTCAAAACACTACCAATGGTCAGGCAAACAGAAAGTCCCGCCCTAAACAGTGTTGTTATTGTTAACTAAAGCCAAAACTGTTAAAAATCAAAAAATTAAATGTTGCTTTGGCAACTCCTGAAATAAATAAGCTTAAGTACTCAAATTAATTAAAGCCATGTAGAAATGTTTATAAATAAATAAATAATAAGCACATAACAAGTGAAAACTGAAAATATAAAAATAAAAGCTAGTTAAATTTATTAATTAATACTATAATAGTATCTAAACCCCACGGCAAACCCAACAGCATTGGTTGAGACAACATTGCTTTTTTTTTATAGTGCCACAGTTTTTACATTTTTCAGAAAAAACAAAAAGGCTGATTTATAGTATCATATTAAGATCGGATAGAAATGTAAACATTGTAAAAAATTACACACTTCATCTTAATGTTACTTGTGTTATTTACGTCATAATGACATTTGAATGAAATGGATATACTGAGATTTTCACAGTATTTTAATATCAATCAACAATATACTGCACATATGTGACCCTGGAGCACAAAACCAGTCTTAAGTCGCTGGGGTATATTTGTATAATCAGCATTGTGAGGAACCTCAGGCTGCTCCAGAGGGACTGTCCCTGTATTAACAACATATTGTTGATTTGTACCACAGTGTTGGGCAAGTTACTCTGAAAATGTAATCAAATTACTGATTACTCATTTTAAAAGTAATCACGTTAGTAATTAGTAATTAGTAATTACTTACATTACTAGTTACGTTACTTTTTTCTCCATTAAATTTATGAAATCCCAGCATACACGCTCCCGATAAATATTTGTTATTAAAGCATCAACATTCACAGAACACTGTTATTTTTAACTAAAGCAAGCGACTACTGCGTGCATGGATTATTATTATTGTTATTATTAAAAGGGCTATTATAGTCACTCATTTAAGCCATTAGTAATCGCACGTTTATATTTAATTAAACTATTAAATTAACAAACTAAGCTATGCTAAACGAGTGTTTTATAGGCAATAGCCTAATAGCTAGAACATATTTTATTTAGGCTACTTATTACTAAACTGTTTTCTGAGTCAGTGTCAGCTGCAAAGATGAAGTTGACCATGCTGATGAATTTATTCTCGAAATTTAATTATTATTCTTCTCAATATTTTATTTCTACATTTTTCTGGATATTTAATTAGTTTAATCTCGCATTATAGGCTAATGACTTTATTCTGGAGATGTTTTTTTTTTTTTATTGTTTGGCCCTATAATCCTCTTCCTTTCTCTCATTTGGCACGAATCCAAATGTTCACAATGTTGGCTATTTGAATTTAAATGCAACCGACTATTATTTATTAGGCCTATATAAACCAGGCTTTGTAGCCTACTTAACCCGCTTTCCAAAAAAAAAAAAAATAATGGTCTTCTTCACATGAAAAACCATCCGCTTCACATGAGCAAATATGTGCTTGGCCCGAGCTAAGGTTGAACGGCACGGATTGTACTACGGACTGTTTTAATTAAGCAGTGTATCTAGATTCTATAGTGTATCTTTATGTTTGGTTGACTGTATTTTATTCTGATAATGAACAGGCTGAAGCGTTTGCAATGCTGTAGGCCTATATGAAAGGTGCATTTCTCTCGTACTGCAGAGATGGCTAATCAGCATCGTCAACTTCATCTTTGCATAATAATAATAATAATAATAATAATACGTGGATCGCGAGCTGTGTGTGTGTGGTTTGGGCAAGGCTAAAAGGGCAGAACGAAAGTCTCAAAATTCAAATTAATCAAATAGAATCGACTCAGAAGAGATGTGAATGAATGCACGCGTGTCGCCTGATCTACAAATGCACATTTTAATCGCTACATGCACAAATTATGATACTTTAATACAAACTATAACATTTGTATTCACAAATATGTCTCTATTTGAACAAAATGCTGCACATTAATGTAATTCTTAACTCTGCAGACACCGGTTGAAAAGCATTTGTTTCAGTGTAGTGATGCACATTTGCGATTTTTTCAAATTCGGTTGGTGACACTAGTGGCAGAAATTACACACTGCATGTTTAATGATCAAAAAGCGCATGATAAATAAAAAATATTGTTTCTCAAAAGAAAGAGTCGACTCTGAACCGACTTAACGAGTCGTCATATTTTTGTATCTTCTGCCTGTTACCTATATACAGTACGTCACATGGTAAGACATTTACATAATCCCCGCCTGCCAGTGAAGTATGAACACTCTGACCTGCCCACAAACACTTCTGCTAGTTAGTGTGTTTACATCATGTCGAGAAGACGCTGTGTTTTCAGCCTCACTGGGCATACTAACACAGTTCCCACACGTGCACCTCAAATAAGTAAATAATATTAATGAATGCAATAAATCTGCTGTCATATCACGTAAAGTACCACATACAAAGTTTAAACTCACCACTGAGAAACGTCCTGATCAAGTCGTGCTTGCGATGGAGTTTCCGTTGAGCGACTGCATCGGTATCATCCTCGGACTCGGGCTCGAATTGATAAGGTAATATCGATGCTATTTTTGAAACCTTATAGCATTTTTGTTTACAAGTAACCCTCCGGAGCAAAAAAATAATTATTGTAATAGGCGTTCCGTTTCCGACACGCATTGTATACGGAAAGACCAATCACAACAGACTTGGCCAGCTGACCAATCAGAGCAGAGTAGGCTTATGGAAGGTAGGGGTTTACAGACCTTAAGCTCAGAACTGCTTCAAACTAATCGTTTCGACATCATTGAAAAATTATTCTAATATTAAATGTATATTCTGAGAAAATTACAATGTTTTATGACCTTGGATGCATTTAAACCTGTTGTCGGGGACTCCAACACAATATTAGGACACTTTAAAATACCATATGACCTGCTCTTTAAAAGTAGTAACTATCTCTCACCTGAGAGGCATCATGGGAGAAGGCCGCATCAAATGCAAACATCTTTGGAGGAACCTGGTTGGAGCTGCCACGTTTCTGAGTTTGATTCTGCTGAGAATTAACTGCTGGATCCATGATGGTCACCTGCTTCTTACGAGAATCGACCTTCAGGAACGAGCTGGACTCTGCTACTCTGCTGCGCGATGAAGGACATACGCGTACCATCACTTTAACCTGCACACAAATACAACAACATCTGCTCAGTAATACAGTAATACAGAGCGGCATGTTGCACAGCAACAACCTCTCTGCGAGTAACACCACAAACAATGTTTTTGTGAACAAAACAACATTCTGCTTGAGGGAGAACAAAAAACTCCTATAAAAGCACCTTGCCGTTTCAAGTGGAACTTTTTGAAACTATAAACACCCCAAACTTTAACATGCTTATGCCATTTATACCATTTTTGACAGAACTGTGTGCTACTTCGAGAGTTATTCATAACTCTTTAATATTTCACCGTCAAATATGTGGAGACACCAGGCAAGCATTAAAACTCAATAATGCTGCAAAATGCAGTTGCAAGATTAAGGAAAAGTACACCAAGTAACTTCAGCTGAAGTTTAGTTTGAGGAACTTATATTTACATAAAAACTTCCTCTAAATAATAGAGCATAATAATAGCACAGTCTCCAAAAAGTGTTGTGTATAGTCCATACGTCTGTATAAACAGACTGCGCATCCACCAAATGTTAGATAAATCTAATAGTTGAACATTTACTTGTTACTTGAAACTCATTCTCCAACTACGTTTAAATAATGTAATAAATCCTCTAATATAACCTATGTACCCTTCCATATGTGTCTCACATGATACACGCATAATAGACATCAAACCTAATGCCGTGTTTATAAGCGTGTGCTCAGTAAAACCATCATTGACTGAATGTAATTACAGATTAGTGGACTAGAACACACAAGTGATTGTTGGAGCTCTGCAGAAAGACAGGGGATAAATCTTGGGTTTCCTTCCAACTCAAACTTGGAGTGTGATACTAGAAGCCCATCTAAAGACTGCAAAAGTGATCTTTCACCATTCCTTTGCAGTCTAGACACAATGGTCAGACATACTTGACTCACAACACAGATATTCAGGACACCAAGGCTGCATTTATTTGCTCAAAAAATACAGTAAAAATTATAATATTGTGAAATGTTATTAAAATTTAAAATACCTGTTTTCTATTGTGATATAATTTAAAATGTAATATATTCCTGTGATGCATCATTACTCTGGGTTTGTTTGATTTTTGGATTTTTTTGGGCATCATTCATTTGAAACAGAAATCTTTCGTAACTTTATGTATTTAATGTCACTTTTTATCAATTTAATGCATCCTTGCGAAACAGTGCATTATGAAATATCTTCAAATAACTAGACTACACATATTCACACTAAATAAATAGCCCAGGATGAAATGTTGACCTATTTAATGCCTCATCCCATTTATAAATGCCTCCCTGAAGTAAATGCTCCTTGGTTCTCTATAAACTGTGACTAATACGCTTTCTCTCTGAGTCCTTGCTTGTTATGGAGATACGGAAATGTGGTCACAGAGCAGCTCAAGGAGCAGTTATAACATATGTCATGCTGTGAAACATAATTACTGAAATCAAAGCATTAAAGATTAAATTTCAAGTTAAGTACATATTCAAACAACATTTTTTTCTGACCCTAGAACAGTACAGCAGTTCAGCATGTCTTCTCAATGCAAAGCCAAAATCAAAGCAGCAGACATACAGTAATTACTTTAGAAATCCAATCCCGATGCCATATGGATTAGCAACTATAATACCATCATCATTACACTGATAGACATTTTGATAAAGCAGGAAATTTGCTTCTCTAGAGTATCAGAGTCATTCAGGCATCTATTTGTTCTGAAGCATTGTGATTATTGGTTTACCTTTAGATGATTGTTTTAGTGCACAAAGATAATGAAAGCAACTCTCAAGATATATATTTTCCTAATGTATAGATCAATAAGTGATTTGAGATCATATGTAGAGGAGATTTCCCTGATATTGCCTCTGGAGAGAGAGATACAGGAGAGAGCATCCTATAACAGTTCAAGTGGATTTCACCAAGAGCAATACATTAAATGACAATTTCCGATTTTTTTTTCTTTTTCCAATTTCCAAGGACAATAGATGAAAATGGTTTATACCAATTGCTCTTTCATTTCCGCAATGAAATAAAAACATTTAGATTTGCATTTATTTTGTCATTTATATTATTTCTGAAACCTCATAGATAGGTATAATTGATTTTGTATAGAAAATTATATTTATAATATGTGTTTTCAGCCTCACTGGGCATACTAACACAGTTCCCACACGTGCACCTCAAATAAGTAAATAATATTAATGAATGCAATAAATCTGCTGTCATATCACGTAAAGTACCACATACAAAGTTTAAACTCACCACTGAGAAACGTCCTGATCAAGTCGTGCTTGCGATGGAGTTTCCGTTGAGCGACTGCATCGGTATCATCCTCGGACTCGGGCTCGAATTGATAAGGTAATATCGATGCTATTTTTGAAACCTTATATCATTTTTGTTTACAAGTAACCCTCCGGAGCAAAAAAATAATTATTGTAATAGGCGTTCCGTTTCCGACACGCATTGTATACGGAAAGACCAATCACAACAGACTTGGCCAGCTGACCAATCAGAGCAGAGTAGGCTTATGGAAGGTAGGGGTTTACAGACCTTAAGCTCAGAACTGCTTCAAACTAATCGTTTCGACATCATTGAAAAATTATTCTAATATTAAATGTATATTCTGAGAAAATTACAATGTTTTATGACCTTGGATGCATTTAAACCTGTTGTCGGGGACTCCAACACAATATTAGGACACTTTAAAATACCATATGACCTGCTCTTTAAAAGTAGTAACTATCTCTCACCTGAGAGGCATCATGGGAGAAGGCCGCATCAAATGCAAACATCTTTGGAGGAACCTGGTTGGAGCTGCCACGTTTCTGAGTTTGATTCTGCTGAGAATTAACTGCTGGATCCATGATGGTCACCTGCTTCTTACGAGAATCGACCTTCAGGAACGAGCTGGACTCTGCTGCGCTGACGGGCGATGAAGGACATACGCGTACCATCACTTTAACCTGCACACAAATACAACAACATCTGCTCAGTAATACAGCATATCAAAGCGGCATGTTGCACAGCAACAACCTCTCTGCGAGTAACACCACAAACAATGTTTTTGTGAACAAAACAACATTCTGCTTGAGGGAGAACAAAAAACTCCTATAAAAGCACCTTGCCGTTTCAAGTGGAACTTTTTGAAACTATAAACACCCCAAACTTTAACATGCTTATGCCATTTATACCATTTTTGACAGAACTGTGTGCTACTTCGAGAGTTATTCATAACTCTTTAATATTTCACAGTCAAATATGTGGAGACACCAGGCAAGCATTAAAACTCAATAATGCTGCAAAATGCAGTTGCAAGATTAAGGAAAAGTACACCAAGTAACTTCAGCTGAAGTTTAGTTTGAGGAACTTATATTTACATAAAAACTTCCTCTAAATAATAGAGCATAATAATAGCACAGTCTCCAAAAAGTGTTGTGTATAGTCCATACGTCTGTATAAACAGACTGCGCATCCACCAAATGTTAGATAAATCTAATAGCTGAACATTTACTTGTTACTTGAAACTCATTCTCCAACTACGTTTAAATAATGTAATAAATCCTCTAATATAACCTATGTACCCTTCCATATGTGTCTCACATGATACACGCATAATAGACATCAAACCTAATGCCGTGTTTATAAGCGTGTGCTCAGTAAAACCATCATTGACTGAATGTAATTACAGATTAGTGGACTAGAACACACAAGTGATTGTTGGAGCTCTGCAGAAAGACAGGGGATAAATCTTGGGTTTCCTTCCAACTCAAACTTGGAGTGTGATACTAGAAGCCCATCTAAAGACTGCAAAAGTGATCTTTCACCATTCCTTTGCAGTCTAGACACAATGGTCAGACATACTTGACTCACAACACAGATATTCAGGACACCAAGGCTGCATTTATTTGCTCAAAAAATACAGTAAAAATTATAATATTGTGAAATGTTATTAAAATTTAAAATACCTGTTTTCTATTGTGATATAATTTAAAATGTAATATATTCCTGTGATGCATCATTACTCTGGGTTTGTTTGATTTTTGGATTTTTTGGGGCATCATTCATTTGAAACAGAAATCTTTCGTAACTTTATGTATTTAATGTCACTTTTTATCAATTTAATGCATCCTTGCGAAACAGTGCATTATGAAATATCTTCAAATAACTAGACTACACATATTCACACTAAATAAATAGCCCAGGATGAAATGTTGACCTATTTAATGCCTCATCCCATTTATAAATGCCTCCCTGAAGTAAATGCTCCTTGGTTCTCTATAAACTGTGACTAATACGCTTTCTCTCTGAGTCCTTGCTTGTTATGGAGATACGGAAATGTGGTCACAGAGCAGCTCAAGGAGCAGTTATAACATATGTCATGCTGTGAAACATAATTACTGAAATCAAAGCATTAAAGATTAAATTTCAAGTTAAGTACATATTCAAACAACATTTTTTTCTGACCCTAGAACAGTACAGCAGTTCAGCATGTCTTCTCAATGCAAAGCCAAAATCAAAGCAGCAGACATACAGTAATTACTTTAGAAATCCAATCCCGATGCCATATGGATTAGCAACTATAATACCATCATCATTACACTGATAGACATTTTGATAAAGCAGGAAATTTGCTTCTCTAGAGTATCAGAGTCATTCAGGCATCTATTTGTTCTGAAGCATTGTGATTATTGGTTTACCTTTAGATGATTGTTTTAGTGCACAAAGATAATGAAAGCAACTCTCAAGATATATATTTTCCTAATGTATAGATCAATAAGTGATTTGAGATCATATGTAGAGGAGATTTCCCTGATATTGCCTCTGGAGAGAGAGATACAGGAGAGAGCATCCTATAACAGTTCAAGTGGATTTCACCAAGAGCAATACATTAAATGACAATTTCCGATTTTTTTTTCTTTTTCCAATTTCCAAGGACAATAGATGAAAATGGTTTATACCAATTGCTCTTTCATTTCCGCAATGAAATAAAAACATTTAGATTTGCATTTATTTTGTCATTTATATTATTTCTGAAACCTCATAGATAGGTATAATTGATTTTGTATAGAAAATTATATTTATAATAATAATAATAATACACAAAACATGTATAATTGTTTTGCATTACACACAATTAAATTAATATATATTCGTATATTTTTTTAAACAATGCAGAAGAGATTTATAACAACAGAAGCTACTAAGAGGCTATTTAATATGCAAGAATTAATTACATCTCTACAAATGTTTATATACAATAACAGAATAAAATGAAAAATATATTAAATTAATTTTGAAGAGAAATACATACTAAAATCATACTAAAATCTCTGACTTTTGATTGCAAACTTTTGTATCTTGGCAAATCTGAGCACAGTCCAGATGTCTTCACATGACATTTCTAGTATGACATCTTAAAGGAAAGATCTGAGAAGCAGGAAACTACAAGAAACAAGTAAAAACTGTACATTTTTGCCTTCTCTGCATGGGAACAGACTTCCAAGAATGTCATTATGGTGTGTTAAATATTTCATCCTGGTGTTATTTAATAGCAAAGTGAACCCTGCCTACAGTTTTTGCATATTCCACCTGAATTATGCATGAGGTGCATTGTTGAGGACACATCACACACTACACTTCTGGACTAATCTGCTGAATATGTGTGCACAAATCAGGACAGCTCTTTTTTAGTCTGGGAAAAGAGGAATGCCTGACCTTTGACGCTGTAATGATACTGTCATTTCATGCATTGCCAATGCCACATCAACCTAATCCACGTGGCAGCATTTCTATCAATGCAGTTACAGTAGATACAGTCCGACTTATCTATACAAGCCTATGCGGTCTACTTTTGCAGTAAAGCTCCTCTTTGAGCCATAGTGATAAGTCTCAACACCAATAGCCTCAAACCGGCTCAGATCTAATAACGTGCTGGCAGACAGAATTTAATGAAAGCCCTTTCTACACCCACAGTCCCTGCACTACAAAGAGTTATGCCTTTTTCTGTTCCCAATAACCAATCCTCCCAGGTTTGTTTAGTCACGTCCGGCATCTCTAAGCCCATTTACCACAAATAGAATTTCTTCTGTTTGGTGATTTGCAACGCACTGCCTGCATTAAACCTCTGATTTTCAGAAGCAGGGATAGGATCACGGTAGGGGGGCTCATTAGGCAGCATATGCGGCTGGATGGAGGAGGAGGAGGTGGTGGTCTCTCTATGAGCTCTCACAGCTCTTGTGGGTGTGAGTAGTTTGGATAAAGCAGCACGACTAATTAAAGGAGATGCTCTCTTCTGGGTTATTACAGGTCTTTAAGAACACTGGAGCGAGAGCCAAACCCACATACTCACTCAGTGGTGCCCACATAGCTACTGTTTCTCATCATTACATTATAAAACCTAATTTTATTCATCCCTAAATAAGATACAATAGCCCCATGAGTGACACTTAAAACATACAGATGTCACTGTATTATAAGTTAACAAATAACCAGATGAGATATGCAAACAAATAATGCTTTTCTCATTTCTAACTTAACTTTTGTTGACCATATTTGCTATTACTTTCAATCAGATGATCCCAAGGTGAATTTAGCGCATATTGTTTTTGCTTTAAGAACCAGCATAGACTGCCGTGTTACCTGTACTGTTTTCCAATAGCTTAATCTTCATCACCACGGCAAAATATTTCATATTTTGATATACAGGTGCATCTCAATAAATTAGAATGTCATGGAAAAGTTCATTTATTTCAGTAATTCAACTCAAATTGTGAAACTCGTGTATTAAATAAATTCAGTGCACACAGACTGAAGTAGTTTAAGTCTTTGGTTCTTTTAATTGTGATGATTTTGGCTCACATTTAACAAAAACCCACCAATTCACTATCTCAACAAATTAGAATACTTCATAAAACCAATAAAAAAAACATTTTTAGTGAATTGTTGGCCTTCTGGAAAGTATATTCATTTACTGTACATGTACTCAATACTTGGAAGGGGCTCCTTTTGCTTTGATTACTGCCTCAATTCGGCGTGGCATGGAGGTGATCAGTTTGTGGCACTGCTGAGGTGGTATGGAAGCCCAGATTCTCTATGGGGTTCAGGTCTGGTGAGTTTGCTGGCCAGTCAGGCACACCAACACCATGGTCATTCAACCAGCTTTTGGTGTTTTTGGCAGTGTGGGCAGGTGCCAAATCCTGCTGGAAAATGAAATCAGCATCTCCATAAAGCTTGTCAGCAGAAGGAAGCATGAA